ATTTATAAATATATTATTTTTATATTTATTACTTACTTAATTTTTTATAATTTAAGTAAAATATTTATTTAAATAAATAAAATACTTATAAATAACAGACATTTCTATACCCAATATTCACTCCGGCTCTGTTGCCATCACAACTGTAGAGTCCCTTCAGTCTATCCTCTAAGGATGTACCAATCACGATTTGGTTTTGGGACTAAGAGACTCCATGGTCATCACAATGGTAAAGTCCATTCAAATCACACAACAGACAATTTATTTATTATAGATAGATAACTAATCAAAGAAGGGAAATGTTTTTTTTTTTTATAATTTTTTTATATAATTTAATATATTATTAAAATAATTAATTTTTTTAATTCACATAAAGTAATAATATTAAATAAATTAATTTTTATAATAATATATAAAAATTATATAAAAAAATAAAAAAAAATTATCCAAATAACCTCATCCATCAAAGAATTATCATACCGTCACGTTGCACACGGTTCCCAAAAAAACAGAGGGTAGAGAGAAGATAGAGACGAGCCACAAGCACAACTGGTCCTGCCGCTGTGGCGCGCCAGCGACTCTCTACACGCCTTTCCCTTTCGGTGATGGCCCGGAAGAGGTTCCTTATTGGTGGTCTGTGGGTTCCCCACTTGTACGAGCCAGTTCTCTATAATCAAAAAGACAAAAAAATCCATAAAAACAAACAATTTCTCATTTGATATGGACACATACAAATATCACATTTCTTCGGCACTTGTTTATTCACCAAAACAGGAGTCATCAAGAAAGTCTTTGTCTTCCATTTCTCTGCAATTTTCTAGTCAAGGGTCCTTCGGCAATGGAGGGAATGCTTGGACTGCTCAGGATTCGGGTAAAAAAAGGCAAGAATCTTGCTGTTCGTGATACCCGTAGCAGTGATCCTTTTGTCGTCGTCACCATGGGTCCCCAGGCATGTTTCTCTGTTCTTTGTGTTCTCTTTCCATTTCTTTTTCCTTTTTGAAGTTAATCTGGTTTCGTCTGTTGGTGACTATTAAGGTTAAGGACTGGAATCATGGGATTGTTTTATATTCCGGTGTTTTCTTGGGGAAATTATGTTTCTTGCTCTTCTGTTCTGTTCCTTGTCTCCTGTTTGTAGAAATTGAATATTTTTCAATTCTGATTATTACCTTATATCATTCTGCATGTCTATAATTTTTTACTTGTTAGGTTATAACTGGCAAGCAGATCCATCCACTGGCTTGTGTTTTGATCATTCAAATTGATAATTCTTATGAATCTTGATTTTTATTAGCTTGAATTTCCAAGGAAATTCTGCATATGTAAAGATAGGGATTTTGATTTATTACAAAAGTGAATTGTATTAGGAGATCAACAAGGAAATTGATTTTGTTGATATAAGAAATAAAATAACAAGACATAGTTGAATCATCTGAAAGAAATCAGCTAAAAGTTGAGATAATGATAGCTAAGGATGTCTCTCAAGTACTTGGAGATTATAGGCAATGTTTTTCTTGCAAAGAAGTTATGTGAATGTTGTATTAGTATCATGTGCTTAAGATGAATTTTTTAGTGACATAAAGAACATTCTTTTCATATTAGGTGCAGGGATTAGGAGTGTGTGGGTGGAGTTACACAAAATATGGACTATTCCAGCTATTACCACTTGATTTTAGGTTGGATATCACTGCTTCCTCTTTTTCCTAGAAGCACTGTCCCTCAAGATTAGGATGTTGCAATAAACAGAATCTGCATTATTATAGCTGCAACTCATGGCTCAGACTTTTAGACAAATCATGTCAACTTTTATTTTGTTTTTGTTTGGTTGTTGATAAGAATTTGGTTCGATATGGTTTTTCTTTTATAAAACAACATTGGTTTTATATGATTAATTAGCTGCAGCACATCATGAGCAGTATGACTTCTAGGTTTGTGAGAGATACCTTTCTGCCACAGTAATAGCTATGATGTCTTGCACTTGCAGCACTTTCTCAATATGTTTCATATGTTCCATTACTGAATTAGCAATTCATAATACCGGATGTGCTTAGGAACTTAGAAAGTTCAATTAAAATTTCTTGGACTTTTCTTGTCAATGCTCCTTAACGTACACTGCTGCCTCTGATACTTGGTGGTGATATGATGCTCCATTACTTTGTTGTTATCTTTAAGTTGCCTTGACAGGAACTTTCATCTTTAAAGGGAATTTCTGAATTGAAGATTTGTGGTTTTGTTAATGCATATGCTTTCCTCTGATGTTCTATTGCCTAAATTGTGCAGAAGTTGAAGACCAGTGTGGTGAAAAACAGCTGCAATCCTGAATGGAACGAAGAACTCACTCTTTCTATCAAAGAACCTATCGTTCCAATCCATTTAGTAAGCAACACCCACCTTCATCGATTGCATATTCACCATTTTTTCATTTCATGAAAGCAAATGCTGACTTTAATGTCAGAACCATCTAAAGTTTCACAAGTCATTTATAATGCCTAATCTTGTTGTTTGCATACATCATAAATACAAAAATCTCATGCAGTCGTTTTTGTCCTTCATTTGAAGAGGTTCTTGGGGAACCACAAAATCCCTTCCCATTTCCCTTTTTCTTAAGGCAAAACAAAGTAAAAAATCTCCTTTGAACTGAAACAGAAGCAAAAGTCATTTGTGGTAGGCTTTCTTCTAACTCTATTAAATTTTATTTTTTTTTTTTCAGACAGTTTATGACAAAGACACGTTTACTGTGGATGACAAAATGGGTGACGCGGAGATAAGCATTGAACCTTATATGGAAGCTTTGAGAACGCACAAGAGCTTGCAAGATCTTCCAGATGGTTCTGCACTCAAGAAAATACAGCCAGACAAGAAAAACTGTCTTGCTGATGAGAGCAGCATTGTCTGGAGAAATGGCAAGATCGTCCAAGACTTGAATCTGAGGTTGAATAACGTAGAGTGTGGGGAAGTGGAGGTCCAACTGGAGTGGATTGATATTCCAGGTTGCAAGGGTCTGGGAGGCGAAGAAATGCTGAAGAAGGATTGATTTAAATATATATTTAAAGTTTCATTCTACCCTCTGGAAACTTGAAACATAGTTTAACATATTTCCCTGTAATTTTATTTGAACTAATGTATTATTGTAGTAAAATCATATTGTATCTCGATGAAATGGCTAGGGTTCGAGCGGTTCTAATTTGGTTAAATCACCATTTTTGTCCGTCAACTTTGAGTTTTGGACCAAGTTGGTCATTGAACTTCGAAAACTACCAAATCATCTCTTTTTTCTGCAGATAGTACTAAAATCATCTTTACATTTCAATTTTCAGACTGTAGTTCAAGGTCTGTTTAAATTAATTATTTGGATACGGTTGATAATTAATAATTAATAATTATTATTTATAATTTAAAATATATAAAATATTAAATTAAAACTAATAGTTAGCAGTTAATAATTGTTCTCCTTTCTCTAAATCAAGAACTCCATTAATCATTCTAATCATTCTGTTAACAGAACTGCCTAGGTCGCACGTCGCACAATTTCCGTTATAAATTTTATTTTTTTAATTTTTAGATATTGTGTAAAAAATTAAATTGCTTATATGGCACTCTTTTTTGTTAAAAAAAATTTATTTTTAAAATAGAAAGGTGAGGTGGTATAGCGCACGTGGATCACCATTCAAGAAATTTAAATGCTGGGTACGTTGTTCGGACCCACAATACTTAAATTAAACTATTATTACCATTTTATAAACATCCTTCTAAATTAGATATGGCAGGTCCCATATGCTTTTTTTTTTTTTTTTATAAATGTTGGTTACACAACAGTATGCAATCATTTTTTATTTTTTATTTTACTCTATTTATATGTTATGTGACTTAAATTTATGATCTCTTACTTGTAGTAGAAAGAGATTATCACTAAACTTTTTAAGTCGTTAACTCTATATATACTCTTAATGCTATGATAAATGAATATACTTATGTATTTGGGCAGGTGAAAATTATGTCATTTATGTACATCCTTTTAGATTAGATTAAATAGAGTTATATGAGCAAAGGTTTTTAAATACACATATTAAGAGGGTATTTTAACATATTTTTTTAATTAATTTATGTTAAAAAATAAAATTTAATCTCAACTTATGTATGATCCACTTAAAATCCTCTAGGTGATATTAATAATAAAATTAAAATTTATTTAATTTGTGCTTTTAAAGGGTTTTAAATGTATATTTTATGTAGTAATTTCCATAAAAAATTAATATTAATTTTAATATTTATGTCACATGAATATTTTTTATTAAATAATTAGTAAAATTAATATCAATTGTTAATTTTACTATGTATATTAATAATAAAAATGTATAATAAATACATTTTTATCCTGTGCCTCTCAAGGCTCGTTTGGAATGCAGCATGGGTCAAACTGCACTGGATAAAATAAATAAGATGGGATTGGATTAAATTGGAAGAAGATAATAATAGTCCTATCTCATGTTTGGTATTTTGTAAGACTAGATACAAAATTTATCCCACACTTTGTTTGACAATGGGTATGATTAGATTGCATAATCTTCATAATTTATGTATATAGACAAAAATGCCCACAATTTAACATATTTGAAAATTCTCAAATTCACTAAAATTTACCAAAATGGAAAGTATTTGAAAATTTTTGATAATTATTATATTTTGTCTACATGGAAAAGAAAAGTCCTTAATTAACTTAAAAAATATATTAATTTATCAAAATAATTTATTAGAATGTCCACTAAAAATACTCTTTATATAATACAAAAAACAATCCAAAGTCAAATTTATCAAAATAATTCATAAAAAAAAAAATCCCATATTTGAATCTTGAAGAATAAAAGTGAAAGAAAATATGTAAAAAATTAATGGTGAAATTAACATACTAAGGTCACCCAAAATAATTAATATAAAAGTTTCATAAAAATAATACAAGATAATAACCAAATCTAACATTAATAATCATTCGAATAATATATAAACATCAAAAAGATCTAAACCTCAAATATATTCAAATCCACTAAAATAATTTGTTGTTGTAAATTTATTGTTGAAATTTAAACTTGAACCTCACTTTTGACAAATTTTAAAACAAAATCCATTGTGAGTCCCAAATTGACTTGAAAAGTGTTTACTTGGATTCCTCAAGTGTAAGTCCACTTGAATTCAGCTTATTTTTTACTAGTTCTATTTTCTAGTGTAGAGAACAAACAAGTTTAAGTTTAGTCTAATGTCTACTTCAGATTCCCAAAAACCCAACCTGGTGAATTAATGAGAAAGAACCAACCTTGTACAAAAAAAGAAACTTTGGAAAGCATCAGAGGCAGCATTAAAACATTTGGGAGAAAAAGACCAAGAAAAGGATCATAGCAAAAAATCCATATAATGAATGTATATATATGATTTATGGAGCCTATTGGAACTTAGAAATTAAGTTTACATGAAAGCTAAAGCAAAGTCATGACAAAAGAAAATCCAAGTTCACCCACTGGTAGCAGTAACTATTTAGAATCATTTTTCAAACAGTATATCATTATTTTTCAAATAACTATTTAGAATTATACAAATGAACATGCAGGTTTACTCATGAAATCTCCAACTACTATGTTCTAACACCTGAAACCAAGGACATCTAATAGGTAATTATCATTCTTGTTATCTTTACACCCGAAGCACTCACTAAGGGACATCTATACATCCAAGTATACTTAACCCCTATGACAACTCCTTGTGACAATTAATGGACCAATTCATGCTTCCAACAACACACTAGTAGTTTATTATGCATTCAAGCAAATTTTTTAAACCAGTCAATGTGTATGCTAGTCTATTACATATAATTTAGTTATTTATGTGATAGATATATATATATATATATATAT